CCTCGGTTGCATGTTGCTCGCGTCTCAATTCTGGCATCACTGGCTTCTAGCACGCCTGGGCCATACGGCTGATCGGGATCTCCCAGGATCTCGTTGATCGCTTCGAGGATGTCTGTTTCGATATCCATCTCGAAGGTTTCTGAGCTCGTGATCTTTTCTGGTTGCTCTCATTTCGTCGGTTTTTGATTTTTCAGCTCGTGGTGGGGTTGTTTTCCTTGATGTTTTCTTCGTCTTCCCCGTTATTGTTTTCGTCGATTTCGTTGTTATTGTCTTCCGGATCCTCTGTTTCATCGTTGTTGTCGTCGGTATTATTGTTTTTATTTTCGCCGGGAGCGGGTTTTAGGTCTTGTATATGTATCTGACGATACCACTTCCCGCGTTTGCTTCGGAGATCGACGATTACCGGCGAAATAAACCGATGTACTTCTAGTGGCCCGATGAACTTTAGCGCGAGTTTTGCATTAAATGCGTTTGCTCTGTTGGATAGCGGGTAGTTTCGCTTCCAAACATATTCGCCTAGCTTTGGTCGCCATTCTCGTCGTCGTAGGTCGTAATATCGTTGTTGTCTCTGGAATCCTCTGGCCATGTTGATTCTGACGACTTCCTCGGCGTCCTGTAATCGTTGGCGTACGATGTCTGGTTCCGGGGCTTCCGGGGTTGTTGGGAGGGCGGGGGCGGGTGCTACTAATTCGCGGCCGTGATTTAAATATGCCGGCGTGTATCCTGTGGCGTCGTGCGTGGCGGTGTTGTACGCGAAATGTAGCGCAGGGATCTGTTCGTCCCATTCGCGATGGTCGCGATCGATGTATTGCGCTATCATCGTTTTGATCGTTCGGTTCGTACGCTCCACCGGGTTACAATGTGGGGCGCGGACGGGTGCGGTGCGGTGTTCTACATTGAAGGCTCTAAGCCTTTCGGTTAGCAGTGCGGATTTGAACTGCGTCCCGTTGTCGGAGATAATGATATCGGGGCGGCCGTGTCGCAGGATTATGCGTTCTGTGATCTCGCGCGTTGCGGCCGGTGCCGTGGCTTTTCTTAATGGCGCGAGTTTTACCCATTTTGAAAAACGGTCTTGCATGACCAACAGCCACGTGACCGCGACGCGATCGTGGAAGCGGGCCCACGAGGCCGACGGTGACATGTTCCCACGGTCGTGTGACGTTGGTCGCATGCATGTTTCCGGCCGGTTTCTGTTGCAACGGTTTATGTGCCAGACATTTCTGGCACTGTCGTATGTATCTGGTGATTTCGCGCAGCATCCCGGGCCAATACAATTTCTCGGCAATGCGGGCAATGGTTTTCGCGACCCCCCCGTGTCCGGCCGTGGGGGCATCGTGGTATTGCCGGAGGATCTCTCCACGTTGCTCGCGGGGCACGCACAGTTTCCACTGTTCCTCGGCGGATGTTTCTTTGAAATTTAAACTGTGGAGGATATGGCGATAGAGCCCGTTGTTTGTGATTCGGTAATCCGGGTGCGCGGCAGGATCGCGTCGGATTTCGGTTAGCAAACGATTGTACCAGCGGCAATGTATGGTTTGAATCGCGTTTACTTCCGGTTTTCGTGAGAGCGCGTCGGCTACGCGGTTTAGCGCTCCTCGTCGGTATTTAATCTCGTAGTCGAACTGCTGGAGCTCGAATAGCCAGCGGGCGAGTCGGCCCGTCGGAGTTTCCAGTTTTTGCAACCATCGTAAAGATTGATGGTCCGTGATGACGGTGAAAGCATATCCTTCTAGATAGTTCCGCATTCTCCGTATGCCCTAGACAACCGCGAGACATTCGAGCTCCGTAGCGCTATAATTTCTGTCGGCGCCGGATAGCGTGCGACTCGCGTAGGCGATGACGCGTTCGCCGTCCTCGTGATATTGAGTGAGGACGGCTCCGAGGCCGCTGGTACTCGTGTCCGTTTGCAGGAAGAAACGGCGACTAAAGTCCGGGCATGCGAGTACGGGCGCGGTGGTTAAGGGGATCCAAAATTACCGACAAAACGCGAAAGTCGTTTCAAGTGAAAATCTTTTTTTTGGCTACACAGATTGATAAATCCTTTTCCACAGTTAAAGTATTGATAATAACGAAGGCGGGGAGCTATATTTCATATAACAAATCAAAGAAAAGTTAAACAATTACAGTTTTGTTATCGACTTCTTGCGTCAAGTCGTAACAATATTTATTTAATATAAAAGTTCTGCAGTTTGTTCGTGCACAAGATATAGCTCCCCGCCTCGGGATAACATAAAGGAGTATTAGTGAACTCTTAGAAATAAGTTTATTAGTCTCGTAAAAAAGATTTTCACTCGAAATACTTTCATGCATATGTGTGCGTGCGAGATTGAGGCAAAAGAGTAAAACAGAGCAGTAGATTAGTTCCGCGATGTCGCAATAGACAGAGCTGCAATCGTACATGACAAAGACAGATATAGTCTTCGTCTCTTTCATGTGTGTGAGAGTAATATACATGTACGCAC